AAAAAAAATGATATCAATACCATGCATGAAAAGGATTAAACAGAGGAAACCCCTGAAGGCCGAATGATCAGTGACATAAGCGTTTGTGTAAGACCACAATCACCCAGCATAATATTGAGATTCGTTGGTCATGAATTTAGATCATTTTTCTTTTATAAAAGAGATAACACATATTATTTGTAAGCGGTGAAATTATTATTGATAAAAAAACACTGCTTATTGGAAACCCACTGGATCAATAAGATTGAGGATACTCTTAATAACATGATATACAAGATATGTGGTGTACGTGACAATAGCCCAGACAGACTAAACAATTGGAAGGAATGAAAAAGAGAGTTACTCACCCATTACGAGACATCTTCAAGGGTGAAGACAGGAGAGCACAAATAATTATGGCATACAAAGGGAGACCCAAAAGAAAGTCCTCGGACACTTTTTCATCTTCAAACACATATATTTATTCGAAATTCATCACGTCTCACAAAGAAAGTAACATCGGGAGATCGGAGGGGGGGGAACCAAGGGAAGGCTTCTACTTCTGACGTAGAGTCGTGAATGCTGACAGTCACTAAAGATCCGTAGTTTTTCTACGGCTCATCCCCACTGAGACGAAAAGGGAAAAACATAGAGTTCCAACTTCTTTAAAAGATATTCTTTACGAACACAAAAAGGCGATTTTAGTTCTAACTCGAAGACATTTAAAAACATAGAGTTCCAACTTCTTTAAAAGATATTCTTTGCGAACACAAAAAGGCGATTTTAGTTCTAACTCGAAGACATTTTTTTTTTAAAGAACATATCTGAGATGCATTTACCACATATTTTTTTTGTAGAGATAAGAAAGACGAAATATATATACATATACTTAAAACTCAGAATATAGGAAGAAGTCTTTAGACTTAAAAAGGACGAAAAGTACCATCATCGGCAAAAAAAAGGCAGTAAACCTTTACAAGAAAGGTCAAGTAAGAAGACTTGGAATCCATCTAACCAAGATGGCACCTGCGATGACGCTGGCAAGACAAGAAAAAATTGTCAAACTGTTGCCGAGCGGTGACCCAAGAGAAGTGATGACAGCGTCCCTTCAGCGCGGGAAAGTACGAGTTGTCAGGCAGGATAGAAAACGACTGTCATTGGATGGGGGATTACTACACGATTAGGTCACCACCAATCAGTGCCAAAAGTACTCCGATACATACAAAAAGGCGTGAACACGCTAAAAATTCTAGAAAAACCAACCGGAAGAATCACTACGTGCAAAAATTTGAAGGTTACATGAAAGTGATGGGAAAAGAATTTAAGTGGTGACGTAAATAGAATGTGAGGGAAAAGAATTCGTCCTTGAAGGACAGTGGGGTCAGACGACCTTGAATTGTAAAAGGTAAAAAGGAGAAAAACACAAAAATGTGTTGCTAACTTAAGAGTAAAAAGAGACATTTCCAATTCTCTTCATAGAAAAAAAAAATGAAGAGAAATAAAAAGGAAAAGTGCAAATATTATAAACAATGAAAGATTGAATTAAAATTAGATTAAGTTAAATTCCGGACATAAAAAAAATCGTACCACGACACTGTGACATCAAACAACCAACATTAAACTAAAAAGGGATTAAATTAAAACAATTAGAAAAAAACGTCACACATCACTGTGACATAACCTAAAAACAGACTATTTTTAAAATATTTAATTCAAGGAATGTAGATTTTTCATCGTTTTATCATTTTCAATCTTAAATAAGGTTTTATATCCGACAGTTAAATTTGCAGTCCTTGTGTTATATCTAGTCTAGTTCTGAATTTATTTTTGGTGCATATACATAAGCTGAAAACGAATAAGATAAGCCGAATTATGGTTTACTTCTAAATGAACTGAAGATACTTGTTATAAACGTTAAAAATGGTAATTTGAAAAGCATTTTTCAAGAATGTCAAGTATCTAAATGACTTAATTTATTATATTTAAAAAATTTTTTTTTTAAATATCCTCAAGGCAGGTGTGTATATTTGGGGCTGATGATTATGAAATCTAACATAAAACTATGAGATCGTGGGTTCTATTCCAGCTGAAGACACTTTTTAATTATTATTTTTTAATACTGAAAAATGTTTTTCTTATTTTTTTAAGTACGCATGTTAATAACTAATAATTTAACAATTATATAAAAAAACTGGAAGGCTCCGCTACCTGTTCATTTTGCTCACTAACCCTCGTGGTTGCTTCTGCATTCATTGCAGGTCAAGAGGAAAAACGGTTTATTTCCTTTTTTTTCTACAAAAATTACGATTGAATTACCACTTACATTTTGAAGATAATTAAATTTAAGCAAATCAATAAAATTGGTAGCAATCAATAAAATTGGTACCAATCAATAAAATTGGTACCAATCAATAAAATTGGAAAATTGGTACCTGAGTTATTACTCAATAAAGTTGGACTCATGGGATAGAACATTCTCCTCCGAATGAGGTGCACCGAATTCGAATCCCGGTGATGGCTGATCGATATGAATTCCGCACCCCGCTTTTACCGACCACAGTGCTGACGTGAAATATCCTCAGTGGTAGGCGGATCATGGATTAGAGTTCCCTTGGTATCAGACTAACCGTGGGAAGATTTCGTGGTTTTCCTCTCCATGTAACTCAAATGCTGGCTAGTTCCATCAAAACGTCCTCCACGAAGGCAAAAATTTCTTCCACTACTTGATCCAGGAGTTCACTTGTCTGCTAGATTAGGTTCAAAATTAAGTTACGGGGTTAAGGCTACGGAGTTAAACATTAGTAGTAGTAAACTCGAAATCCGGTGGGCTGCTCAATGACTGTTATAAAATAAGCTAATAATTTGGCCACGATAGCTTGGTTGATGGCAGGGCTATGGACTCGTGTTCGTGAGAAAGGGAGTTTGAATTGAGCCTGCCCAAGTATAAAATGGTTACTGGTGCATGTTAAATCTGTCGGGGTCATAAACTCCTCCAAGTTCTCTTAACAATTCAATACCTCTGGGTATTGATCCAGGAGTTTCCTTGTCTTCTGGATTGGTTTTAAAATTTCAACGCTACGTAGTTAAAACATTGGCTCAAAATTGAGTCAGTCTTTCAACGGCGATTATTAAAAAAAACTAGTAATCAAACTGTATTTTCTGGTATTTTTTATAACTCCTTGCATATTTTCTACACACCTTCATAATTTTATGTTTCTAAGTCTAACAGATTTTGATCTGCAAAGCAAAATGTATGTCTTATAGGAAATTGATTTTGATGATGTGATAGAAGATTCGCCTCTCAAAAAGCGCAAAAAGTATAGTTACCTTAAATTTTCGATAAAAATAATGTATATAAGCTTTTATAATTAAATTATATGTTTCTTACTCTTAATAAAAAAACAAATTTTTAAAAATTATTCAAAAAAAATTTTTTTTTCTTCTCTAAATTTACTCATAAAGGGCCCAGTCCACAAGCCCAGGGCCCCTGTAAACATAAAAACAGCTCTGCATCAAATATACTAATTAATTAGTCCAAACGATATTTTAAGTTAGGAAATTAGACATAAAATCGTTATCCGATAAGACATACCTTTTTTTCGACGGATTCGGATTTCTGACCCCCAAAATATAGTAGTTTTAATTTAGAAATATTGTTTTATTAGTTTTTTCAGGAGCGCGCTTGAAAGTTAGCACCCTTTACTGCTAACTTTAGTTTTTGCGTATTTTACTACAGCCCACTTTTTTTTAAGCGAATTGAAAAAGTTTTGCATACAATTCCAATCTGATCAATCAATTCATATTCCTTTTCTAAAGATAATTTCATGCAAAATAAAACTTTTAATAAACATTTATTATTAC